AACTGCTGACTTACTTGTGTACTGAGACAAAGTGACACTCGCTCCTTCAGTAACGTTATCATCTGCCACAGCAGTAACAGTTATGTTATACTGGAGTCCAGCAATCAGGTTGGTAATGTTTATAGACGTGGTAGCTGTACTTTCATTTTTAGTCTCAGTTCCATTTGTCCATTGTACTTTATAGAAGGAGCTGTTTCCGTCTGGTTTAGTCCAGTTCACAAAGATTGAAGATGTGGTCAAATCAGCCACATTGAGATTCCTGACCTTTTCAGGCTCTGTGAATTAGAGATGTCAATGACAAAACCATTTATATGATAAAAAACATCTTAAATATTCTCTAAGTCAGAGTCACAGTGGAAACCATGACACTTGAGACACGCTGCCTCAGCAACATCCACACAGCTGGAAGTTCATCAACCATCAGGTTTCATTCAGTCTGATTGATGCACTTCTTAGGGCAGACCGTCAGGTTCATGCTATCTTCTACTAGCTGAAACCCAAACTAGGAGTCAGACAAACCAGCTTCACCCTCACATGAGAACACAACTCCCACCAACCTCCCCAGTGCTGGTCCTGCTATGCATTGTTTGTTTTCCCCTTTCCCCTCAAACCAACGGGTCCAGGCAGATGGCTGCCCTCCCTCAGCCTGGTTCTGAGGGAGATTTCTTCCTGTTGAAAGGACATTTGTTCTTTCCCTCTGTCACCAACAAGCTTGATTAAAAGGGATCGTTTTAATTTATTGGGGTTTTCCCTGTAATGTCAGAATATAAAATAATTGCGTACTTACTTGTGTACTGAGACACAGTGGCACTTGCTCCTTTAGTAACGTGATCATCTGCCACTGCGGTAACAGTTATGTTATACTGGACCCCAGGAGTCAGGTTGGTAATGTTTATAGACGTGGTAGCTGTACTTTCATTTTTAGTCTCAGTTCCATTTGTCCATCGTACTTTATAGAAGGAGCTGTTTCCGTCTGGTTTAGTCCAGTTCACAAAGATTGAAGATGTGGTCAAATCAGCCACATTGAGTTTCCCGACCTTTTCAGGCTCTGTAAAAGCAGAGAGACGACAGTGAGAAATATTTTACATTCTCACCACTGAGCCTAACACAATAACAACATCACCTGTGTGTGTAAAGCACCTGTTCTGTGTGTGGATCATAAAAGTGATTTAACAAAGTGGTCAGACTTACTCGTTGTGACCTCTTTGCAGCAGTTCGAACAGTTGATGTGGATTTCATAGACGGCTCCAGGAGTCAGACCAGTTATCGAACCGTTTCCAGAGAGGTCACCAGTGGATAAATGACAGCTTGGTTGGGATTCCAAAGTGACAGTTCTTTCTGTTGTTTTTAATGTGCTTTCAGCTGAACAATTTGCTAAAAAAAAATAAAAATATAAAAATAGTCAAGACCTACTGGAAGAAATAATCACACGTAAAAAGAATCTTTAAATGTGATTTATGAGAACTTGTATTTTTATAAAAAACAGGGAGACGATAAACGGTACTCACAGTCACACTGTGCTCGGGCGTTCTGCAGGGACGGAGACAGAAAGAAGTGAAGTGAGTCATTTTGCACCAGCAGAGGTCAGCATTACGTTTGGAACAGATTCAGAGCAGCCGGAAACCAAACCACCGGCTCAGTGTCACAGGGAGTCGACCAGTTAAACAACATGTGATGCATCATGAAGCAGGTAAACCGACAGCAGCCTTGTCCTGTGTGTCTGTACATTTAATTTCCCTGCATGAAGCTATAAATGCTGTTTCAAAGCCCACTCAGCACTCTTGGAAGTTTAACTGTGGTGAATAAATACTGAGCAGAGTTTGCAGAGCTGGAGATCGAATTTCGATCCAATCCATGCACACAGAATGAACAAAAGAAGTTGGTATCAAATTCTTGTTCGCATTCTTGGACTCTGTTAACTATTTGATCCTCGTGTAAATCCAGAAACTTGTACAACTTGAGACCTTGTTTGGTGAGCAGTTTGACATATATTCAAACACGCTTCCATTATTCAAAGAAAAATGGTGTCTAGGTTAAAACATTAACACCCACATCGTCATTATTTAATTGCCCCATCTGTAGTCAAATGTAATTATACTGCATCAAAACCTACGACTAGAATAAACCCCTAAAAACATGAATAACGTCCATACATTCAAAGTTTGACTTCCAACAAGTTTTATTTCTAACATGCAAAAATCCCTTCATATAGCTGTGAAGGTTCTTGTTTACCCACCAAAACACTTCCTTCTTGTTGGTTCAAAGGGACACACAAAAGCTCAGTATTATGGGATAAGGTTTCTCTTTGTAACTGATTAAAAGACCATGCCTTTGTAATAGCTGGGACCAACAAGGAAGTGGACTGTGCCTAAAAAACCTGGCCATCTGTAATCATTCTCCGGCCTCGTGGGTAATGGCAAACTGCCTTTGAGAATATTGTTCTTCCTCCTCGTAGGATTACATCTGGTTATCTCATCCCTCAAACTCCAAAACGACAAACGAATGCTGATCACAGCAAACCATAACGTCGCCGTAAATAAGCACCAGCTCGGTCCTTCTGTGTAGAGATGTCTCAGTCGTGCAGTTTTTGTTTCATTTATTTCGTTTATAACCCTGTTATCGGTTGCTAGAGGCAGAACTGTGCTTCACTTCAAAGCTACATTAATTTGTTTAATAAGAATAGATTGGTCAGTTGATATCATTAGTCAATATTGACCTGACAAACAGGCATTGATAGCACAACTTTCCCCCCCCCCCCATTACATTACATAATAAAGAAAA